GTGCAGTGACGTTTAAGGGCCGGAGGGTAACGCTGGGTAACACCATTCTGGTATTGTTGCACTATCTTTCTGCGCAACAATGGTGGAATTGGTGATCCTCTTACCATTGTAGATGAACAGATGCTCAGATATATTCATCAATTAACACGGATTCCTCATTTTTCTGGACTGAATAAAACGTGCAGTGAATTTTAAGGAAATGCAAACGTGAGACGTCATTTATCTTTGACCCATCAAAATGAATGCGGTCATTTATTTACAGAATCAAAGTTTAACATCAAACATTTACAGTAATTTGGCAAATTATGAAAATAACAACAAAAGCAATCAATCAGGAAAAATCATACGGCCATGATTTTTCCGTTGCTTCACCACAGACATTTATGAAAACTGTACAATTATGATCTCTTTATCCACACGGCGGTGGATGAGCACTTTACACAGACATTTCTAAAATATCTGGAAGAATTTCTACTTGAGAGAAGAGTTTAAAGATGGGAAGGAAGTTTAAAGGGGAGAAAGATGGTGTTTGAGGGAGAGTGTTGAACAGAACGGCACTCTCCGGGCTTTCTTCAGCTTCTTCCTTACAGTACACTTAGGTGGTGAAATCGACTCTTTTACCTGGAGATATCTCAGGCGAGATTCCGTTTAACGCACCCTTTCAGCGTCTCCGTAGGATGCTGTTACTCGTCCGGAGTAATGGCGAGGCTCTGTCCGACACAAGCTCACCTCAGTGGAAAATGTTATAATCCCATGAAACTTGGAAGACCTCTGTGGTCATGTCAGGGTCTTCCCGGCTCCCACAGCTACTGCACAGCGCTAGGACATATCAGAACTGTCCGCGCCGCCGAACTTCTCCAACCAACAGAACTGGGCTTCTCCGCGTAGAACTGAACTCATCCCAACTCTCACAGAACTGAACTTCTCCGACCCACAGAACCGAACAGAACCAGCACAGAACCGTGTAGACCAGGAAGTACAGACATTTTAAAGAGCTCTTTTCCCGGTTCATTCGGGAGTCTTCCCATTGGTCAGAACCGACCAGACGGGGGTGTGTTTTGTGACGTAAGAGGTTAGAAGACAGCAAGAATTGTTATGGAACAGATCAGAAATGTTCTCACAGACAGAGAGAGTTTTGTTTTGGCGAGTTTGAAAAACAGGTGCCAAAACCCCCCTGTTGACGTCTGAGAGGATATAAACAAGACAGTTGTTCCAACACATGTCTGCTTCGATTCCTGACCCTGGAAAACGCACACTTGCTCATTCAAAAGCAGAAATCAAAAAATGCATAATTACTCTGTAACAGCTTTAACATGAGTTCTAACTTTGTATGAGAATTAAAAATCATTACACTGTTTCAGTTAATAAAATCGATTAGTTCACTGCAACATCTAAAATGGTTTGAACTAAGACACTTTGATTATCAACATTTGTAAAATAGTAATGATAATAGAAAAGAGAGTGTTCTTCCACTTGAATTTTCAAGAAAGAAAGTCTCAGGATGGGTGAACCTGTATTTCTGGATTCAAATCAATGAAATGACAGTTCCTGTCCCACAAGGTTCTTAAGGTCAAGAGTTTTGACCTTAGGCTTAGTCTTGACATCAGGTTAAGTTCACTACACCATCTTGGCTTCTGAGAGACACTGACACTCTGAGAAGCTCTTTTTATACCCAATCATGTTGTCAGTTGACTTAATTAGTGTTAGTTGGTCTTCCAGCTGTTCGTTATATGCTCAATTTACTTTTTCCAGCCACTTATTGCTACTTGTCCCAACTTTTTTGGGATTTGTTGACACTGTGAAATTTTGAATCAACACATTTTTCCTTTAAAATGGTTCATTTACTCAGATTAAACTTTTGATCTGTCATCTGTTATATTACGAATAAAATATTGACATTTGCCATCTCCACATCATTGCATTCAGTTTTTATTCACAATTTGTTTAGTGTCCCAACTTTTTTGGAATCCGGTTTGTATATGAATATTTAAATTACCCATTATGATGATTTTAGCAGTATTTAATAGTAAGTCGGTTAAGAATTCTTAGAATTCAGACAAAAACTGAGAGTAAGCGCCTGGTGGACGATATATAACTAGTAAAAGTAACTTTTCTCATTTCCATTTTGGATGAGAGACTGAGGGACAGCGATTCAAAAGCATCATAACTAATAACTGGTTTGGCATTAATCAATAATCCTGACTGAAAAATAGAAGCTACTCCTCCACCTTTGCCAGTTGTTCTAGGAACATGAAAATTTAAATAATTAACAGGAGTGGATTCAATTATACTAACAAAATCCTCCTGTTGTAGCCAAGTTTCTGTCGGACAGAATAAATCGTCAAGTCAAGTCAAGTCAGATTTATTTATAGAGCACATTTAAAACAGAAACTGTTACCAAAGTGCTTAACAAAAATATCACATCAACAGATAAAAAGTAGCAAGATATATTTACAGCACATGGAATAAAAATATAAAACCAAAAACAATTAGAAACAATGAAATACTAAATCAGATCACGTTGTGTCAAAAGTCAAGGAAATAAAAACAAAAAGCATAAACTCAGTCAGAAACAATGAAATACTAAATCAGATCAGATGACCTTGTGTTAAATAGGAATAATAACAAAAAGCATAAACAGAATCAGCATCAATGAAAAACCAGATCTAAAGCTGATCACCCTGTGTTAAATGTCAATGAGTATAGGTGCGTTTTTAGGAGAGATTTAAAGGCAGAGACTGAGGTGGCCTGTCGAATGTTGATGGGCAGATTGTTCCAGAGTTTAGGGCCCACGACTGAGAATGCTCGATCTCCTCTGAGCTTCAGCCTGGTTTTTGGTACGGCCAAAAGCAGCTGGTCTGATGATCTCAAAGCCCGAGAAGGAGTATAAGGATGAAGAAGGTTGGAGAGGTATGAAGGTGCAAGGCCGTTAATGCACTTGAATCAATATGATGATCAGTTAGCAGTTCATTAAGTAACAGGGATTTAGAGGAAAGAGATCTGATGTTCAATAATCCACATTTAATGATTTTATGATTTTGCTCTGGTAAAGTAACTGTGCTTATTTTAATCAGATTTTTATGGTTTATATTTTTAGAGCTGATTTTTGGTTTATTTAATTTGAGCCGTGGGCGAGTTGACACCGTTTCAATGGGGGTTTGGGTGGATAATGGAGGAGAAGCAGCAGAGAAGTGTGGAGGACTACAACTCTGCTTCCTGGACTGGATGCTGGGTTGTCAATAATTTTGGGGATAAACAAAATCAGCCATATTTCTAAAAAGAAAAGCGGCTCCGTCCAAAGTGGGATGGATGCTATCTCTCCGCATCAGACCAGGTTTTCCCCAGAAAGAACTCCAGTTATCGATGTAGCCCACGTCGTCAGAACACCACCTGGACACCCAGCGGTTAAATGACGACATACGACTAAACATGTCATCGCTGGTCAGGTTGGGGAGGGGGCTGGAGAAAACTACGGAGTCCGACATGGTTTTAGCAAAGTCACACACTGAAGCAACATTAATTTTAGTGACCTCCGATTGGCGCAACCGGGTGTCATTACCATCGACGTGAATAACAATCTTACCGTATTTAGCTTTAGCCTTAGTCAGCAGTTTCAAATAAGATTCTGTCACCCGCTCTGGCCCCCGGAATGCATTTGACTATGGCTATTGGAGTCCCTAAAGCCACGTTTTGGACTATGGTGCTTCCAATAACCAGGGTTTTCTTCTCAGCGGGTGTGTCACTGAGCGAGGAAATTCGATTAGAAACATGAATGGGTCGGTGGTGAACTGGGGGCTTAGCCTTAGCACTACGCTTGCTCCAGACCATCACCCGGCCGGCCTGGGGTCCTGGCTGCTTAGGTCTGCTGGAGGACAGCTAATGGGAACTAGCCTCTCTGGTTCTGCGCTGTCTAAGGGGACCTGGCTAGCTACTGGTTTTTCTACAGCACGGAGCTGAGCTTCCAGTTCAAACAGCCTCTCCTCCAAAGTTACCATAAGACTACATTTGTTACATGTATCATTACCACTAAAGGAGGCAGAAGAGTAACTAAACATCTGATACACGGAGCAAGAGAAAACAGAGGAAGCAGGGAGAGAAGCAGCAGCCATGCTAAGCTAACACTAGCAGGAGCTAGCACAAGCTAGCAGAGCCAATACACCAATAAAAACCGAGACGTGTTGAAAGATAGGTGTTTTAAGCACTATCCAATAGTAGAAAAACAACTGTACTAAGTGTGTTTGTGAACAAGAATGAAAAACTGCAAAAGACAGATAAATCCAGAAAAAAGAGACGACTCAAGCAAACAATTCTCTCGAGCTACCAACAAACAGGAAGTGACAATACGTCTCACCACGAATGTGCAACGTCAGCCAGCAGAACCAGTCAGCAGATTAAGGCGGTACTTCAAAAAATAGACAAAAAGTTACCAAAAAACTACCTGGTTTGGCGAAGGATGGCTGCTGTGGCCCACATTGCCAAGACTCATACTGGACAGGATGAGCGCGAGGGAACCAGAGCCCAAAAAACTAGGGCGGCCAGGGAGCAAACATAAACAAGTGAGCACAAAGACAGAGAGAGCTTCTGAGAGAGAGAAGCCCCTGAAGACCAGCCTATTTATGGGTGGGCAGAACATGCCACATCTTGAAACAAAGGTTAATTAGTTAACCCAAAATGTCCAAAGGACAAATAACAATATGTGCCTCAGGCACATAACACTGTGTCACATGTTCAGAGATGCCTGTGACTGTGTTATGTATTCAAAGCTCATGTCTTTTGTGTTGTACAGGCTTCGATCAATACTTCATGTCACGCTCCCTAGAAAATAATCGCAGGAACATCTGGTTTGCTGAGTTTTGGGAAGATGACTTCAGGTGTAAACTGACTCGACCTGGAGTCAAACTGAACCCACACAAGAAATGTACAGGTACACCCAGTCCTTAGGATTGTGGGAACACTTTATGAACACATGGTTTTATTCTGAATTCTGCGCTTGTCTACAGGGAAAGAGAGGATTGGTCAGGATTCATCCTACGAGCAGGAGGGAAAGGTCCAGTTTGTGATTGACGCAGTCTATGCTGTTGCTCATGCTCTGCACAACATGCACCAAAACCTTTGTCCAAACAGCCATGGTGTCTGCAGCAACATGGACCCTGTGGAGGGACGACTGCTGCTTGATTATATCAGATCTGTCAACTTTAATGGTAAGGAAAACCTTAAAACTAAAAGCTTGCATCAGCACTACAGCTGGAACTCTTCCTGCATTCAAACCTGAAGGAAATCATTTGTATTGGTTGTATGTTTTTTTTTAGCAGTATAGAAATATAACAGACTAGAGAAATGTCACTTCCTGTTAAATGAAGTGGGTGGAGTATAAAAGGATATATCTAGAAATGTTGCGTTTGGGAGCTGACTGCAGGTCGTCAGTCACTGCAGCTAGCTACTGCTAGCCGTGGGCCTTAGGCTTCCTCTCTGACCCTGGACCCTCAGCCAGCTCCCACGGCTTCCTCTGGCTCGAATCTCTCTCAGAAGTGGCAACTCATACTAATCAATAAATCAAGGAAGCATGAATTCAGTTTTACCAATTATATTAAAATCAAGGTAGGAAAAGTTTACAATTTACAGCGCTGGACTCTCCGGTCTGTGACGCGTTCACAGACCCGGAAGAGCCCCAATGTCCTGTGTCATTACTCATTTATAGGGTCCTAAGACTCCAACTTCACAGAAGGGGAGCTCAACCTGTCAGTGTATGAGGGGGCGTGACTAAGTGTGTTCTCAGTGGATCTTATGTGGTTATGATCTGTTAGGAAATATGAAACAGTGCTTCAAAAGCATTCTACATGATGTGGCAAACAGTTTAAACTATTCCTTGACTGATATTGAATCCCAATGAGACTCTTTTTAGAGTTGATGGCCGAGTTTAACCCAGTCAGAACCGGGTCATAATTTTGTTATAATCCCATCTCTGAGCAGATCAAAACCATAGGTCCAGTCCAAAAATATCATGACATATATATATATATATATATATATATATATATATATATATATATATATATATATATATGTATATGTGTGTGTGTGTTCTGGTATTCCCTACGGTATGGGGACATGAAACTGTTTACACAGTCACGTCATGGGGACCTGTTCCCTTATGGGGACCAAAATCCAAGTCCCCATAAGGGAAACTGCTTTAAATCAATATTTGAGCTATTTAAAGGTGCCTGTGAAGTTTTTGGGGCTGGCCCATAACGCATGTTTTTCAGTCAAAGTTTGTGTGTTTGTGTGTGTCCCATAGCGCCCCCTTCCATTTTTTTTACTGCTACTGCAACCAGTGCTTCACACACACTTTTCATCCAAATATAGTAAGGTGCCGCCTACTTCCTGGTCCTCATTAGGAAGGATTTCACCAGAAAAATACAATTTAAGTGTAAAGGTGTTTTTCTTTTAAAATATAAAGAAAATAATATATAAGACGATTATTTCATGTCCAAATTCAAGTTTGTTAATTTAACCCCTTCAAAATAAAATAGCATTTGGTCAAAATGTTGTACATAAACTAAAGAAATGCCAAATGGACTATAAAATATATGTACAAATCAACAAAATTAAGTAAAAAATTGGTTAAAAAGCTTATCCAATTACAGAAACAATAAAAAATTGTAACAATTTTGCAAATTTTCACTCTTATATTGTAGCCAAAGCAAATGGACAAACATTTGTCATTTGTCTTTGCCACCTGAGGCATTAAATGCCATTAAGGAATTCCTTGGTAATTTAAAATTCACAGAGGTCTTTTTGGCTGGAGATCTTAACATTGATTGGTGTAAGTCGACCCCCCTCTGTGACAAATTCAAGGAATGTTGCTTGTCTTTTAATTTAACCCAACTGATCGACTCCCCCACCAGATTAAATAAAAGCCACCCTGAAAATTCCTCCATCTTAGACCTGTTTCTAACTAATATGCCTCACAAATTCCCTGGTACAGGTGTATTTGCTGATCTTTTGAGTGATCATTGTGTGACAGCGGCTTTAAGAAATAGTAAACTTTCACCTTCTAAGCCCAGATTAATTCAAAAAAGGGATCTGAAACATTTCTGTGAACAGTCATTCCTCTGGGATCTGTCTCACTTTGACTGGCATCGTATTCTGTTAACTGATGACGTGAACTCCGCTTGGAACTATTTCCATAATAATTTCATTTATTTCCTGAACATACATGCTCCTTTTCGTCAGTTCAGAATAAAGGGACGAGACAGCCCCTGGTTTACTCCAGAGCTAGCTGACCTCCTACACAGGAGAGATCATCTTTGGGCTGCAGCGAGAAAATCTGACTCAGACACTGACTGGTTGAGTTTTCGACAGATGAGGAATAAATGCACAACTGTTGTCAAAGCAGCAAAACGCAACTATTTCTTATCTCAGACTTCCAAAAATCTAAATGACCCTAACAGATTCTGGAAAACAATTAAATCTCTCTCAGGCACCCCCCAGTCATCTGACCTCCCATCACAACTTCTCGTTAACTCTGTTCCTGTGTCAAATAAGCACGAGATCCTGAACTGTTTCAACAAACATTTTGTTGCTTCTGGTTCTTTATTTGACACAGTTACTAATGGAAAATCAGCCACTTCACTTAATAACCTAACTTCTACAAATCAAATCCCTCCTTCAAGTCAATCCTCAGTTAATCACAGCTTCTCTTTTTCTCCATTCTCAGTCAGTGAGGTCAATAAACTGTTAAAAGGTCTTGATCCTAAAAAATCTGCAGGTCCAGATGAACTTCCACCTTATTTCTTAAGGCTGGCTGCTCATATCATCACAGTCCCTGTGACCCACATCTTCAATCTCTCCACAAGACAAAACTCCATCCAGACATCCTGATGCATGCTCAATAATCCAGGTAGAAAAATCTAAAAAAGTTAAATCTGGTCCTCTGGACATTAAAAAAAACCCAAAACAAAGCAAAACAACAAAAAATGTAGAAACGTTTCGTCTCTCATCCGAGAGACTTCCTCAGTCTGAGGAGCTGTATTCAGCTCAGTCTCTTAAATAGCACCGTCTCAGGGTGGATCAACCAGTTTTGCTGCTGACAACCAAAACCAGCTGATCACATGCTCAAGAAGGACCATCAGCATAACAATGGATCATTAGCACACTGATGGCTGTTTACTGTTCACAGAGGGCTGAGTGATACTAGCAATCACAGCATTGTAAGAGGGGGACAGTTGAACCCGGAGGCCTCCACCCCTGTTTAATGATGGACGATTCCTTTTCACAAAGATGGCCTCCTTTACTCCTCTCTCAAACCATCGTTCCTCTCTGTCCAGGATGTGCACATCTTCATCCCTGAAAGAGTGACCGCTGGCCTGGAGATGAGTGTAGACTGCAGAGTCCTGGCCTGATGATGTTGATCTTCTGTGCTGGGCCATCCTTTTGGCCAGTGACTGTTTTGTTTCCCCGATGTAAGACTGATCACAGCCCTCCTGACACTGAACAGCATACACAACATTACTCTGTTTGTGCCGGGGGACTGGATCTTTAGGATGAACCAGTCTTTGCCGTAATGTATTTTGGGGTTTAAAAGCCACTGGGACGTTATGTTTAGAAAATAAACGTCTCAGTTTCTCTGATACTCCCTCAAAGTTTCAGCCTGCCTCAGCAATGCCAAACCACCACCTTCCAACATCAGTAGAGAGGAGAGGGACGCACTCACCACTCTTAGCAAGGACAAAAACATCACCATTCTCCTAGCAGACAAAGGAAGGTGCACAGTGATTTTGAACCAGAAAGACTATCATGAGAAAGTTATGACACTCCTTAGTGACTTAAACACTTATGAACCTCTGAAAAGAGATCCAGGAAGTGGTTACAAGAAAAAGTTAATAGATTGCCTGTGTAGTGAACTTAATCTGGTGTCACGACTAAGCCTAAGGTCAAAACCCTTGACCTTAAGAACCTTGTGGGACAGAAACTGTCATTTCATTGATTTGAATCCAGAGATACAGGTTCACCCATCCTGAGACTCTCTTTCTTGATAATCAAGTGAAAGAACACTCTCTTTTTTATTATCATTACTATTTTACAGATGTTGATAATCAAAGTGTCTCAGTTCAAACCATTTTAGATGTTGCAGTGAACTAATCAATTTTATTAACTGTGTAATGATTTTTAATTCTCATGCAAGTGTGCGTTCCAGGGTCAGGAAGAAGCAGACATGCGTTGGAACAACTGTCTTGTTTATATCCTCTCAGACGTCAACAGAGGGGGTTTTGGCACCTGTTTCTGAAACTCGCCAAAACAAAACTCTCTCTGTCTGTGAGAACATTTCTGATCTGTTCCATAACAATTCTTGCTGCATTCTAACCTTTTACGTCACAAAACACACCCTGTCTGGTCGGTTCTGGCCAATGGGAATACTCCCAGATGAACCGGGAAAAGAGCTCTTTAAAATGTCGGTACTTCCTGGTCTAACCAGTTCTGTGAGGGTTCTACTCGGTTCGGTTGAGTTCAGTTCTGTTCAGTTCTGTGCGGAGAAGCCCAGTTCTGGGAGCCGGGAAGATCCTGACATGACAACAGAGCTCTTCCGAGTTTCATGGGATTATAACATTTTCCACTGAACCGGTGCTGTGAGGGACAGAATCTCGCCACTACTCCGGACGAGTAACAGCATCCTACGGAGACGCTGAATGGGTGCGTTAAACGGAATCTCGCCTGAGACATCTCCAGGTAAAAGAGTCGATTTCACCACCTAAGTGTACTGTAAGGAAAGCTGAAGAAAGCCCGGAGAGTGCCGTTCTGTCAACACTCCCTCAAACACCATCTTACTCCCTCTAAACTTCTTTCCCATCTTTAAACTCTTCTATCAAGTAGATATTCTTCCAGATATTTTAGAAATGTCTGTGTAAAGTGCTCATCCACATCCGTGTGGGTAAAAGATCATAATTGTACAGTTTTCATAAATGTCTGTGGTGACGCAACGGAAAAATCATGGCCGTATGATTTTTCCTGATTGATTGCTTATGTTGTTATTTTCATAATTTGCCAAATTAATGTAAATGTTTGATGTTAAACTTTGATTCTGTAAATAAATGACCGCATTCATTTTGATGGGTCAAATATAAATGACGTCTCACGTTTGCATTTCATTAAATTCAATGCACGTTT